AACAACACTGACCTGTTGCATCTGTAAACTGATCATACAACTAGTTAATCTTTAGCTTATAAAGGTCACCAACAACACTGACCTGTTGCATCTGTAAACTGATCATACAACTAGTTAATCTTTTACTTATAAAGGTCACCAACAACACTGACCTGTAAACTGATCATACAACTAGTTAACCTTTAGCTTATAAAGGTCACCAACAACACTGGCCTGTTGCATCTGTAAACTGATCATACAACTAGTTAATCTTTTACTTATAAAGGTCACCAACAACACTGACCTGTTGCATCTCTAAACTGATTGTACCATTGTCGCAGCTCAGCCTCTTCTTCTTCCCGCCAGTCGATAAGAACTCGGGTCCTGAACAGAAAATACTTCTCTCAGGTATCTAAGCTTAAAATCTTCATTTGAAATTATATCAAAATATAATAAACTACTTTAAGTAAATAACATAACCAAAAATATAAAATATCCAGAGAAAAAGAGAATAATTAAACAAGTAAAATAAAAACATGCACCTTCATATGTGTGTATGTATATAAATATATATATATTCTTGTAAGTGTGTCAGTAGAATTTATTACCCATAAGTAGATTTATAATATGCACAATATATTTATAAACGTGTGCTTGCGGGGTTTACTACACATAAGTGGATGTATAATATATCCAATATATTTATACACATGTGTCTGTGGGATTTATTACACATAAGTGGATTTATAATATATTTGATATATTTACAAACGTGTGTCTGGCATTTATTACACATAAGTGGATTTATAATATATCTAATATATTTATAAACGTGTGTCTGGCATTTATTACACATAAGTGAATTTATAATATATCTAATATATTTATAAATGTGTGTCTGTGGGATTTATTACACATAAGTGGATTTATAATATATCTAATATATTTATAAACGTGTGTCTAAGGGACTTATTACACATAAGTGGATTTCTAATGTACCCAATATATTCATAAGGATCTGTCTGTGGGATTTATGATGTATCCAATAACGTCATATAGGTTTGTTACAAGTGGATTTACAGTATATGGTGTAATGCAGTTGTTGTTTGTTATAAAGCACAAAGCTACACAAAGGTCTATCTGTGCTCTTCTTACCATGGGTATCGAAACCTGGTTTCCAGTGGTGTAAGTCCACAGACATACCATGTCATGCAGACCATAGCTAGTTCACAATTATTTGCACTATGAACTTCAAGGTTATGCATAAACACTGACAGATTACCAGAGTGCAAGACAGATTTACCTCTCAAATGTTAATTTTCTGTCATAAAGAAAAAAAAATCTAGCAAACCAATCACTTTCACCTTTAAAGGTTAAGATAAAGTTTTTATCCTTTTCGTTGATTAAAATATATTATTTATAATTTTTTGCATTAAGCCTTTTACCGAAACTTATAGCGAGTGAGTGCATGTGTGAATATATATAAACTCCTGACATCCAGAAATCCTAGAGATTAAGGACTTAAAGTCCCTGATTGACTTTTTACATTTAACCAATGCTGTTTTAATACAAAATTACAGCAGATTAAGCGCAGAAAAAAAAAAACATTTTCATAATAGAAAACATTATAATTTAATTTTAAAAAGCCACCTGGTGGGTTTATGGCGAAGCTCCTTCAAATCCTTAATAAGTCCCAGGTATTTCAGATGACGAATAACTTGTCGCCTTGTCTTGGTATCATCAATCAAGTTGTCCACGATCAAGTCTGCTACGTCTTTATCTGCGAATAGGCATTAATACTCATCACGAAATCATCCAAACAAAACTACTGATGTAAATTTAAGCACGTACTTCGATTTACACTAGTTTGGCTCTATAACACGACTATTTACGTAACACAACGCTTTCTTCATTATTAATCAACTGAAGGAAGAGCTAAATCTAAACTACAATAGTATTCCAATATTCTTAATTATCTTAGTTTTTCGTTAAAGGAATTATTGTGATATTACTAAACCAATTATCGAATTTCATCATTGTTGGCTTCATATTATAATCTTGTTAGTTTGTTTTTCAATTAAAACGCTATACTCAAATTAGGGTTCATTTTTATGCTTTTCTAAAAACTTCTCGAAAAGATTTGTAAAAATTTACTAAAAGTCATAGTGTTTATAACACATGTCATTCCGTCATTTAGTTTGTTTGTTTGTTTTGAATTTCGCGCAAAGCTACACGAGGGCTATCTGCGCTAACCGTCCCTAATTTAGCAGTGTAAGACTAGAGGGAAGGCAGCTAGTCATCATCACACACAGCCAACTCTTGGGGTACTCTTTTACCAACGAATAGTGGGATTGACAGTCACATTATAACGCCCCCACGGCTGAAAGGGCGAGCATGTTTGGTGGGACGGGGATGCGAACTCGCGACCCGCAGATTGCGAGTCGAGCGTCCTAACCACCTGGCCATGTTGTTTAATATGTTGCAATATAAAACACCTTTTAATATGTTGTTGTACAAAATTGCTACTGAAATATATTTACATGTTCAGGACAGACAAAACTGAGATTTATTAGAATAGATTCTACTGAAACATGCTCATCCTGCTTGCTATAAACGTTAAGAACAATCACATAACTAAAACGCATTCTATTCGAATATTATTTAGTCTAGAAAAGTCTTTATTTCTTTGAAAATAGAAACCAAACTATTCAACTTTTTAAAAAACCGAAGAGAATGCCTGAATTCTTATAAATGATGCAGCGTAGTTCAATATGAACATAACACGTTACAGTTGAGGCAAAATGGATGAACATAACACGTTACAGTTGAGGCAAAATGGATGAACATAACACGTTACAGTTGAGGCAAAATGGATTAAAAAATGACAGGTAGGATGCATAATCTTATCAGTAAACTATACACTTTCTGTAAATTAATACGAAAGAAAAACGTTTTGTGAACACTTTCATATCAACTCCTAAAGATTAAACAATTACCTCCTTCCCTGACATCTTTGTATTGTTCGTACAACCTTTGGAGCTCGTCTTCTTGTTCTTCAGTCCATAGCACTCTGGCAGATTGTTTCCTAAACGTTCGATATATATATATATATTAAATTAGGAATGTTATCATTACGCTGTAGCCTCTAAAACGTTATGTACAGATAAACCACGCCGTATGATAAATGAAGGAATTAAGGCAGTTTCTTAGTTTAGCGTCTCTCTCAAACTGACATTCCATGTCTCCATGTTTATAATATTACTGATGTGAGCGTGTCACAGCTTGTAATACATGGCTTCACACATTTATAATATTACTGATGTGAGCGTGTCACAGCTTGTAATACATGGCTTCACACATTTATAATATTACTGATGTGAGCGTGTCATGGCTTAGTAATACATGGCTTCAACACTATTTATAATATTACTAAGTGTGAGCGTGTCTATGGCTTGTAATACATGGTCTTACAC